TAGGAGGAGGAGGAGGAGGAGGAGGAGGAGGAGGAGGAGGAGGAGGAAGAGGAGAAGGAGAAGGAGAAGGAGAAGGAGAAGGAGAAGGAGAAGAAGGAGATCTTAAACTTTCATACTCTTCTCCCTTTTTGTTCTCTGGCACTGCTGAAAAAACTCTTTGAATTTTTCTCTTCTAGTTCAGATTATACACAGTTTATCTTGATGTCTGACCTTGGACATACTGCACTGGACAAAAGAGTTAATGTTGTTTAAAAAGGCAAAATCTAAGATTTGTTGAAATTTTTGATAAAACAGGAATATTTAATTCCTTATTTCAATCTTTAATATTTGTACATCAAATTGATTTATAAACAACAGTATTGATAAAGATTAAATGTAGGATTTTTAGTCTCACAAGGTTTGATAATAATGTCTGATTTACGTGTTTCTGAAGCTGAATGTCCCACTGCCCCAAACTCAGGGGTGGGATTCTACCAGTTCGCACCTATTTGCTAGAACCGGTTGTTAACATTCCAAGCAGTTCAGAGAACCGGTTGTTAGAAGAAATTACTGGCCTAATCCTGTAAGGAAGGCAGGAAGGAAACATTCTGGTATTGCTTACAGAAACTGCCTTTCCGTTAACCCTTATTACATTCTTGGCAGGACTAGACTTCCTGTCTCAGGAACTTCTTTGGAGTTTTTTCCCCCTCCTTTGCTGGTACTTTGCTTGTGTAGAGTGACCATTCAAAGTTACAATGGCACTGAAAAAAGTGACTTATGACCATTTTTCACACTTATTACTGTTGCAGCATCCCCACAGTCATGAGAGGCCAGGCGAGGAGATGAGTGCCTCAATGTGAGTGATATTGAGTTGGCCGCACCCAGCCAATAACATGACCACCAAGCCACATCCACCCAGTCACATGACCACCAAGCCATGCCCATCACCTAAGCCATGCCCACAGAACCAGTTGTTAAAAAATTTGAATCCCACCAATGCCCAAACTGAAAGCTCAATAAATGTTGTAGTTATAAATATTGCCAGTGGGTGGCAAAAGACAAATGATATTTATCCTTTAAAGTAGAAAATGATTAAAAACTGATTGCTATCATTCAACAATTGACCAAACATAGAAATCTCAGCATCCATCCAAATCTTCTATAAACAGAATTTTTAAGATCAGTTTCAAGGTTTGGATGATCCTTTAACATCAATGCATGAAAAAGCAAGCATGAAGACAGAATTAAAATACAAACAGAAAATATATACCACAATATTAATATCAATTTAACAGTTATATAATGAGATTTGCTTCTTCCTTGGCAAATTATCTTCCATGATCTTCTGTGAAGTTGCAATAGATGGATTTGGGCTGCATCTGGCTGTGTATTCTTTTCCTTCGTTCTTGGTTGTTCTGCTTAATTATTTCATTAATAAGACATAATAATTATATTACAAAGCCGCATTGTTCCAAAAACCCTACACCAATTTCTATGAAATTTGGCACTCTTTTTAAAGCTGTAGACCCCTCTCAAATGTTATATAACTACTTTTTGTTTTTTAAAGAATCCTTACATTAGAATATCAAAAAATGTAGCTTCATTGTTTCCTTTTTTTCTTGCCTGCACAACATATGAAGTACAGATAGTCTCGACTTACAACAGTTCATTTAATGACCTTTCAAAATTACAACAGCACTGAAAAAAGTGACTTATGACCGTTTTTCACAGTTATGACCCTTGTAGCATTCGCCCATATTCATGTGATCAAAATTCAGTTGGTTTCTAACTTATGACCGTTGTTGTGTCCCAAAGATATGTGATCCCCTTTTCCAATCTTTTGACAAGCAAAGTCAATGTTTTCTTAACAACCAGTTAACTAACTGTTGTGGTTAGTTGGCAGCAGGTGCGGATGGCTGAGGAGAGCGAGGACTCAGATGAGGGGCCAGGACCATTAGGGAGTGGACTGCTGCCTTCAGAGATTGTGGGGGTTGGCAGCAGCGATGAGGAGGTTCCTGAGGAGCCTGTGCCAAGTGCACGTGCACGCAGGATTGCTCGCAGGAAAGAGCAGCTATAACAGCACGGGTGACTAGGGAGTAAGGCTGCAAGGTAATGGCCCCTCCTTCAAGAAGATAAAAGCCAGCTGTGAAGTGAACATTTTTTGCAGGAAGCAAAGACATTTTGAAATTCAGCCTCATGGATATTATAGTTGGTATTTGAAGACTCTTGTGTTGTAAACTATTTCTTATCTGTTGTTTTTTTGGCTCTTTCTTGTTGGAGCTAATTAGCTAAAAGCAGCCTTTTATCTGTGAAGAAACAGGATTCATAGATGAAATATTAAAAGGTTGTGCTGCTGCCTTTGACTTGTGTTTGTACTCTTGGAACCAGGTTTGGGTCACAACACTAACTTACCAACTGCAGTGATTCCCTTGTGGTGAAAAACTCACTTAACAAATGTCTCAGTTAATCACAGAAATTTTGGGCTTACTTGTGATCGTAAGTTGAGGACTACCTATAATCAGGTTTCCATCAGGCCATTTCTGGAGCTCCAAGTTAGGCACCTGCATTAGATGAATTGGTTTCTGAGCATCACTACTGAATAGACGTAGTCCTTGACTTACGACCATAATTGAGGCCAATTTTTCTGCTGCCAAGCGAGACAGTTGTTAAGTGAGTTTTGCCCCATTTTTTTTTACCTTTCTTGCCACCGTTAAGTGAATCAATGCCGTTGTTAAATTAGTGACATGGTTGTTAAATGAATTGACTTTGCCTGTCAGAAGGAGATCAGGTCACTATGGGACATGGCAACTATCATAAATACATGCCTGTTGCCAAGCAGATACATGCCTGTTGCCAAGATCCAAAATTTGATCACATGACCATGGGGAATGCTGCAATGGTCACAAGTGTGAGAAAAGGTCACAAGTCACTTTTTTCAGTGCCGTTGTAACTTCACATGGTCACAAACAGTTATAAGTTGAGGACCACCTGTAACCACACAACTTTTGTTTTAAAATCTGCTTTCAGGAATGCACTAATGAACAGTTGTATACCGCTTGTACAAGCCATCTGGATATTTTTTTTTAAAAAAAGAAAGGAACCTTTAAACAATGCTATATATTTTTTTTTTCTACAATGACAGCAATGCTGTAGTTTCCTATATTAAAAAGTTTAATAACAGTTGCCAGTAAAGCAGAATGTTTGTAGCTCAGGGTTGAAATGAAGGGTCCTAGATGCTTGCTTCTTTTCTTGCAGATATTTCATTAACCTAACTAGGTTACATCATCAGTGCTAGCTGTTAATCAGTGCTAATCAGTGATGGGATTCAATTTTTTTTACTACCGGTTGTGGACGTGGCTTGGTGGGCCTGCAGGAGACATATATGGCAAAATCCCCATTCTCTCCCCACCCCACTAACCTGCTTTCCAGCTCCATTCTCCTGTGTAGGGCAACAAAAGAAGACCCACCTGATGAGCTGGAACTAGGGAGGCCAGTCAGAGGTGGGATTCTGAACTACTCAAAAATTTTGCTACTGGTTCTCCAGAACTGGTCAGAACCTGCTGAATACCACCACTAATGTTAATGATGTTACCTAGTTAGAGTAATGAAACATCTGCAAGAAAATAAGCAAGCTCAGAGATCATCAAGGGTCCCTTAAGAATTGTTGGCTTGGAAAACATGTAAACTGGAATTGGTTAAAGTACTATTTCTTAAAGAGGTGAGTAAAATGGATTTCATTTCTGGCAGTACATAATCAAAAAGAAG